TGATAAGTCACATGTTTCCTGCCTGGCCGCAGCGTGTATCATTACCCTCTCTCGTCCGGGCGGTAGAAAGGAGCCCTCAGCCAGAGCAGCTGCAGCCAATAAGCTGACTGTTGCTATCTGTAAACTATGCCGCCGAAACATAATTTCAGCCTATCAGCGTCTTCAGATCTGATGCCCTGACCTGTGAGTTGTTTAGACTCGTATCCAAGGTGACGCTACAGTAGGGGATGGCTGCGTCTGCAGGTGTAGACTCCGGTGCTAGTGGATCGCCGGAGCTGTAGATTAACATTTGCATGCTTATTGTAGTTGTAAGGGCAATGCCTGTGGCACCATGGAGCATATGTTTGGGCTGGACCTGTATTTTACAGGAAAGGAGTGATCAGAGGGTCGAGTAGTCGATTCTTGTTCAGTTTTCATCTTCCTCACCCTCTCAGACTTTGATTGGCGCTCGCTGCTAAAGAGACGCTCTACCATGGAAACCAAACAATGGTGTAGCTGTATTAAAGTCCGAGTGGAAACAGTGGTGAATAAATCTGATTTTGTCAGAAATCGGGAGAGTATCACACACACACACACACACACACACACACACACACACACACACACACACACACACACACACACACACACACACACACACACACACACACACACACACACACACACACACAATGTTCGTATTTAGTCTCCTGATTTTAAATGCCCTAGTATGGTTTTGTCACCATTTCCATAGCCCCACCAAAAATATTTTCCACCAGCCGCCACTGGATGGGACCAAGGTGATGATGTAGTACATGGTTTTAATAATACTTTTGCCTTTCAATGTTTGCCATTTCAAACCATGAGCTGGTTCAAATAATATTTGCCTTGATTCACAATATGTTCTCATTTTTTTTATCAGTACAGCTTTGAAGCTTTAATGCTTTTCCTTGCCATAGTCCACTTTGGCTACATATAGCGCTGCCAACCCTCACGCATTGAGCGTGAGAATCACGCAATTAACTCATATCTCACGCACTCACGCCACACTTGCCTTTCCTCACTTTAAGTTTTCGTCCAAAATAAATGTATATAAAAATAAAGTGACGGAACAGCAAACCGATACGAAATGAGACGGTCTGGCTTAGTTCAGTAAAGTTGGAACGATATTGGGAGACTCTGATTTCACGGATCAATAACTCATGAACAAAACGTTATTCAGACACAAATGACGTCTCCTAAGTACCGTGGTAAGGTTGACAACGATCTACAATCAAATTCTGATCAAAAAAAGCCAACACGCGCCGCCCTCCGAGCTGGACACATTACATTGGTCTCTATTCGCAGCCGGAGAAGAAACGAGTGCTCAGGGACTGTCTGCAAAGTGCAACTCCGAAAAAAGAGAATTACAATAATACTCACTATTATATACAGTATATTTCTACCAAACTCACTACACACATCAATAGTCTCATGCTACAGCAAGGAGTTTGGAAGAATATGCTTTTGAATAATATTGGGGAATATTTATAATGTAAAATCTTTAATAAATATGGCATCATCTTCAATAACTTTACTAATACAGTATATTTCTACCAAACTCACTATTTGCATTGTTGTTGTTAGCATCTGCTTAGCTAGCTGCGCTAACAGTATTATAAGCTGTTTCTAAAACAAGGAGAGGGAGAGCTCTGTCCTGTCAGACTGAGAGAGATAACTACAGCTCAGTGAGGTAAGCAGTGGCGGCCGGCCCATAGGGGCGCCGCCCCCCCTCTTCCCACATGTTTGATTGTCATTAAAACTTAAAAATAAATAAAAAAAAATTTTTTATTTTTATTTGTAAAGAACAAGGTAAATATTATATAGTCGGTATCAGTAAAAATGTATAATCTACAATAAAATCTCGTTTAAAATTGTTTTACGATGTCTAAAGTTACTGATAAGTCACATGTTTCCTGCCTGGCCGCAGCGTGTATCATTACCCTCTCTCATCCGGGCGGTAGAAAAGAGCCCTCAGCCAGAGCAGCTGCAGCCAACAAGCTGACTGTTGCTATCTGTAAACTATGCCGCCGAAACATAATTTCAGCCAATCAGCATCGTCAGATCTGATGCTCAAAGGGCGCCCTGGCCTGTGTGTCTGTGAGTTGTTTAGACTCGTATCCAAGGTGACGCTACAGTAGGGGATGGCTGCGTCTGCAGGTGTAGACTCCGGTGCTAGTGGATCGCCGGAGCTGTAGATTAACATTTGCATGCTTATTGTAGTTGTAAGGGCAATGCCTGTGGCACCATGGAGCATATGTGTGGGCTAGACCTGTATTTTACAGGAAAGGAGTGATCAGAGGGTCGAGTTGTCGATTCTTGTTCAGTTTTCATCTTCCTCACCCTGTCAGACTTTGAGTTGCGCGCGCTGCTAAAGCGACGTGCTACCATGGAAACCAAACAATGGTACACACACACACACACACAGTTATGAAATACTATGACAGTAAACCAAGAATACAGTTTAAAGGAGAGTGATTTGTAAAATATCCATAAAGAAAAAATAAAATCTGTTTACAGTTCTGTTTCATATGGGTGTTGAGAGATGTATCCTTACATTCATTTTGCTCTCAAAATGCACCAGGTTGATGCATTAAACTTCAATATTTAGAAAAAAAAAAAAAATCTTCCCAGAGGAGCATCCCCGCGGACCCCCCTGCAGAGGTGATATATATATATGCTCAGAAAACCACTTGAAACTCAGATGACAGACAGGAGTCTACTTCAACAGAGCTGAGATGCAGTTTGTGAATCGTTTTAAGTTCTCCCAGAAAATAAAGGGCCTCTTTTAAAACATGATTTTTTAATACCACAGCTTGTAATCCTTTGGACTTCGCACAACCATAAAATACATCAAAGTTTAAAAAAAGAGCGAGGCACTTTGTGGAAATCTCACGTGTGTACAAAAGAAAATAAGGAACCTGTGTTAACTCAAACTGTGCACTGCCTTCACCAAGCCACCACCTCAAGGTAACAACATGTATCAGGTCTGAAGTGAAACCAACACAACTGCATTCAAAGTGACAAGTGAACTTCCATTAACAATGTTAAAAATATTAGGCGTCATTAGTCCGAGGAATAAATAAGATAAAAGCATTTGTGCAAACATGGGGATCAATTTACAAACAGACCGAAGTCAGAGCTTTTAAAAACTCTGAAGGATCGCAGGAGCATGATCTCCATCTCTGCAGAACACCTCCGTGGGCAGTGTGAGTCAGCAGTATTTAATTCATGAGAAAATAAAAAAAATCTTAAAAACAAAGCTGTCTGTCAGTAGAAGAAAGTTCCGAAGTCGCCCATGCCGTTGCGCCTGAACTGGTTCCCCTGGATGGAGACGAAGATCTGGTGCTGCATCAGGTCCTGCACAGCCCGGCTGCACGACGGCTCCTTGCTCCTGCTCAGCTGCCGGCTGAAGTGCCACTTCCTGCCGGAGCTGGAGGCTGCTTCGGTGCCGCTGCTCTCCGAGTCGGGCCGAGCCTCAGTGGACTCGCTCTGTGCGGAAGAGCTGGAGGAGAGAGCAGCAGACCCCCCCGGCTGAGAGTCTGCAGGGCCAGCGGGTTCATCTGGGGAAAAAATGGTCGATATTGAAGCTGCGCTGCGGAGAGCTTCTTACAAACAACCTGCCTTCACATGTGCGTCTGTTAAAGTTCTACTGACCCCAAAACATATAGTGTATACACTTTCATTATCATAACTTCATTTGTTTTGACTCCTGTAGGATTCTCCATATTAGATTCACAAAACTCACCCCAGGAGTTGGTATTGATGCCCAGAGAGAATATTCTGAGTCCAATAATGTCTTTGATTAGGTGATGATCCTACTGTAACTCACAACCTGTTCACCCCCCCTCTCTGGATAAGACAGGGAGGAGGCAGCTACGTCCATGTTCCAAAAGTATCTCTATATGTGGAAATAAACCCTGTACTGTTGCCATACTGCATGCATGTGTTCCTATGGTTACACTACGGGTTAAATGCATTAAATATATAGACACTGCAATCCCTCCGCCACCCTCGATAATTGTTTTCCTTGTACTGTGTTACCGTTTGTGTTGTTATTCCCGTCTTGGAAAACATAGAACATGTAAATGACTGAGAGCTCCACAGACCTTCATTTTGGTCCGCAGGGAGTCCCTGCTGTTCTCCGCAGTTGGCCTTCACTAGAATCACCCCGTAGCCCTCGTTGTTGTGGATCACATTGTTCTCCATGGTGATGGACGGCATCACATCGAGCTCATCAGCAAAGTCCTGCACACACCAAACACACATTGTCACGTATGTTCAAACATCAGGAGCAGCGTTTCCGCTATTGAGCCGAGCCAAATGATCCGGCTCACTAAAAAGAGCTGGAATTCCCATCACTAATACGCAAAGAGATAGTATCTATAAAAGGGACGGCTCAATTCAAAATTAAATTCACGTGACGTCACAAAACCCCACCCCGCTCTCGGGTGGACGCCCTCTCAGCCCTGGTCTGGCAGAAACACTGATCAGGAGGATAAAGGCTCAGGGGATGTCAGGACAGTGCTTGTCACCTTGATGAGGATCCCGTCTTTACAGTGATGGATGCCGTTACCCACCAGACTGCACACACTGCCGGGGTAAATCTCCACACCAGCCCCCTGCAGAGAACACACAGGAAGTCATATTAACATAAACACTTCCTGTAAACTGACAACACAGTATCTGCTGATCTGTACATGATCACTTCAAGTACTAATCAATCATTCCTAGTAGAGAAAGACCATTGGTGCGTTTGAAAGTGTGTGTTACAAGCAAATTTATATTTATACATTATGTATTTTGTTATACTGGAAAATGAGGTGATCAGTGTTATCCTTTGATAAACTGTGATTATATACCAACTTAACCTCTGATGAGCCCACACCTCTTTGTTCAAGCATGGAGACGTTTGATAAAAAAGTATAATTAATAGTCATTTATTACATGGCTTAGTTGAATAGTAGATTCTGATTGGTCAATTCAGAACACGTGACACGTTGTTAATCCAGAACAGACAAACCGCTCTCAAGGACTTATTGACTGTTGTTAAAGAGCAACTTGCAGGTTTTTTTTTTTTTTTTACTACATTTATGCTTAACCTTGCCTGAAAATTACAATTAAAAAAGTTAATGCAGGATTTGATATGTTTTACAAGACATACGGGCAGGAATTCAGAGGGAAAGGAGCAGTTTTGAGCTCTGCTACTAAAAACTGTTTTTTTTTTACTTCATATGTCAAACGCGTCATATTACATCACATGGGGGAGCAACTTTCTCGGACTCGTTCTCTGCCCAATCCGCGGTAGTAGTTTGTAGTTGGTTTGACCGGTTGTGATTTAGTGAGCTGGTATTTTTTCGGTAATTTTACATTGCATTTCACCATTTTTAAATCATGGTGAGCTTGTGTTTGTGCAGGTTGCAATTCCCAATTCCATCCCAATTATTCATTCAGTTTTTATAAATATATCGGCGTGGGAAAGAGTTGTGCCTACATGCTTCACGAAATGTCTGTCATGTGTTATTGTTTATATGCAGACTATTTTACATTTATTTTCCGTACTTTGTGTCGTTCATTTTCTATGCATATTTTGTGGTTACATTCAATCCCAATCTCATTGAGTACTCTTTCTTCATAAGTTCGTGTAAAGTCTGTACGGACCTTATAATATAATAAATATAATGTACAGTAAACCATCTTCGAAAATAGGTTTCGCTGAAATGTATGTAAGTCATACTTTGCATGCACCTGTTAGGGGTCCTCGTTAAACCACTTCACAGGGTCCCTCGCTCGTGTGCTGTACGAGCTTGATTCGATGGGACTGAGCTTCGTCCTGGTGCAAATGTTTGAGAGCTGTGCACATGTCAGGCCGTGGAGGCTTCACTCACATAACCTCTCATACACTTATTCTAAGTTCTGTTAGGACGATAAGGACTAGATAGACGAAAGAGTGATTGTGGGATGTGTATGATGTTACTTTGATGCAAGCGGATACAACTAAAGGGTTATGTGCTGGTCGACCATCTATCTATTTTGTCTTCTCCAAAGGATACTGGTGCGTGAATGAAGAGCGTGACTAAAGAGTACAGCGCAGGTAACGCAAACAGCTCAAATGGTGTTTAATTCGTTTTGACTCGTTAGTCAGCAACACGATATAAAGACCCAGGTTTTGTCATGTCCGGCACAATGGCGTAAGAACGCTGACTAGGACCGAGGTGAACCTAAGTGTAGAAAGCAACACGATACTACATTCTCTCGACAGGTAGATATTTCGCTACCGTTTGGCACGTCAATCTCGTTTGCGGCATCCTATGTGACTTAGACATCACCTTGTTACTTAACTTATGCTCGTATGTTGTTAGAACGTACTATCAAAGTTCTTTTTTATGGTCTCTTATAAATCGATCGTAGTTCGTGCGAACATTAAAACCGCGCATCTCAGAGTTACTTATAACCTATGCTAGATACATAAACAGAAGCGTATTTTTTTTCCGCGCCGCGGTGCCCTCGTACTGTTCTTTTGTGGCAAGGGTCGCATGATCACTTGAATGTACCTCCTGTCTCGCCGTTGTTCGTTATATTATGTGTATATACAAAATGAACTTAATCTGTGTAACCTCTTTGTACTTGTACAAACGAATCATAAGTCATGGTAACGCTTCTTCCAACTTTATATTCATAATGAAAAACGTATATTGTAACCACAACATGAAAGCTTACGCTCTCACTGAATATTAATTATCGAGACGACACCTGTTGATGCGTGTGCTCCTGGTCCTCGTTGTCTCTAGAGGGTCGTGTTTTTCTTGCCGGTAGCCTCTCTATATAACTCTGCATCACCACATTTCCTCTTTGGTCAACTATGCTTTGATAATCGTCATGAATACAGAACTCCTTACTTGCTTAACTTGTGGTAGATTCTACACGAGAGAAACGAAATAAATGGCTCTTGGACTCGATGGAAGAAGTTTCTGTAACAGTCTCGAAATTTGTAAAAGTGATAACTTAACACAATGACCTCTCTATCCGCAATCGATGTCAGATTACAATCGATTAACAGTAGTGGGTAGTGTTGTAACATTTTCAATCCGGTTAGTATAAAGTCCGATTTGATTCATCATAAACTATTAAGTCATTCAATGAACCGTTCCTGACAACTAATGACTAGGTACTTGTCTTTGATTACGCGTCATAGGTCGGCATAGGAGCGCAATGGATTACGTTGAGGTGTGATGCAGAATGTGCCACGGACACATGGACCCTCCTCTCTGCGCTCTATTCCGACTATGAACTCCTGCTAGACGCCTCTTGCCAACACTCGGAGGCAACTATAGGCAACATTTCACCGAACTACGCTTTCGTCGCACACATCAGTCACTGTCCACCGGTCGTCGACTAAACGTCGTCCACTCACCCTCCAACTTCGGCCTCGGTCGCTCAGCTGTCGGGTGGTGGCGGGTGTTTCGTTGCGTGTCTGTCCCCCTTTGTTTTGTTTGTGTTCATTGCCGACCTCGTCATCGTCGGTGGTCCAATGGAATTACGCTTGAGGTGTGATGCAGAATGCCACGACACATATGGCCCCCTCTCTCTCTCTCCTTGCTGTGCCCTCCTCTCTTACATTATGCCTAAAGGAACTATTTGCCAAAACAAACATCCCGAGTCGACACCTCTCATACACGACGTCCCTCCACCATACGTGTTGCGTGGGTCCTTGCTTTTCGATCGAGGCCAGGAAAAAGGGCACTCCCTTTGAATTTGAGCTACAGACTGT